AGTTGGGAGATCAATTCTCCACTTGCTCTCAAGGAGAAGAGCCAACTTATGTTGCCTTGGACCCCGTGCACCCAGAATGGTAAACTACTTTTGAGTACTCTTACCTAGAAAACCCTGGAAAGGACCACCATAATTTGGAATAATCTTGACAGAAGTTTTTTTAAAATCAACAAACATAACATACAAGTATAACATCAATCAAAATTTCAAGATTTTATCTATTTCAGGTGGCTATCCTAGGGAAGCAGTTAGAAATACCAATGACAGATATGTCAATAAAAATGGTTACCAATTAAAGTTTTGTATTTGTCAGTCATTTAAGTAACATTGTGCACTTCATTGAACTGTATTTTATTTTAGTTCACATATTCCTGCCAAGAAAATTATAAAGCAGAAAAAATTAAGAAAAAAATATGTTTTAAGCATATATTGTGTAAAATTGCTATGAATCAGACCTTAATTTATAATGGCATAAGAATTTCCAGAAAAAAATAATCAATTACAATTTTTCAAGAAAACCCCTACTGATACTATTAATTATATTGGCACACAGCTGTTTGTAAGCCACATGTACTAGATTTCAACAATATTTCTTTCAAAAGATATATTTTGAAACTATCAAAATCAGAAACTTGGTTTTAAATATGACATATCTGTTATCTTCATCTATATGTGATGTAACTATACCAAATCTACATTAATTTTCAGCATAAAATTAGCTATCTTTCTCCTTACCAGCAAAGATAGGGGAGTTACATTTAAACCGCACTCAACTGTCAGAAACTAAAATTCTCCCTTTTATTTCACAAAATCTGTTCAGTATGCAGTTGGACATTACATTTCTTTAGTACTGTATAGTCTGGTAGCTAACTTGGGAACACTTCCCACATCCCTTTATATTCCTGTATACACATTCCTGTGCAACATTTCTCTCAAATGTAAAAGGAAACTTGAATGCATCAAATCTGTCCAAAGTGTCATAAGACCCTTCAGGAAAGAAACCAAGCAGTTTCTATAAAGACTTACAATTTATAATTACAAAAAAAACTATTTTTAAATCTCTACAGATTATAATTCTCATGGTTTTCTTCTTACTCAGGAGCAGGTCCTATTGGATTGCTAATTTCTCCGCAGAGGCTACAATTTCAGTTAATTCCCACATGGGGAGAAAAAACAAGAACAAAAAAAAACCTGAATTACTATGCATACAAATAAAGTTACAGGTAGGCAACTGGCTTACATGCCTAGCTACTGATGCAATTACATGTTACAATTAGGGACAGGACTTTCAGATTTGTTTGTATAGCAAAGTCCAGAATTTGCCCAGAATTCCTGCAGGCAGAACTCTGGGAGCTTTAGCCAAAAATAAAAGTCCACAGAGCAGTTTTCACTAGTGCCATGTAGGCTTCTGTTGCCATTTTTTTGCCTATGAAGAAGGAAACTTATTCAGTGGTGCTTCGGAAGGGCAGTGATTAATGGGGTGGGTTGTTCTTTATAGAGTGTAACAGGCAGCAAGACTACCCATCCCATTAATCCACCCACTTAAGGATAATGATGTTGCTATTCCTAGTCCACCTTACAGAGTAGTCTATATGACTAGATGGGCGGGCTATAAATGTAATAAATAAATAAATAAAATAAATTCCACTTCCAATTATTTATTGTAGACAAAGTGACATTTGTTCTTGTTCATATGATAACACCTCCCCCCAAAAAACAGAGCAGGGATTCTTGGTGATCTGTTGTGAATCATTCTGAGACTCACCAGCAGAGTGTAGAGTGCTCCCTAAATGTAAAACAAAGACAAATTAATTAGGACATAAAGAAAGCACTGGATCCAGTGCAGGGAAACAGAAGCAGTGTTTATTAACTGTAGTTTCACCATATAGTTTTCACCATATAGTCACCTAAAAATTTGATCCAAAGCAAGGCAAACTATTTGGAAGTATGGGAAGTTGCACAGGAACTGCAACAGGGAAGAGGGATTTGCAAAAACTGTCTCTGTTTTCTGTTACCAGCATTCTGAAACACTAAGTGAATTTTGTATTTTGGACCATAAATTATTTTGTAGTAAGTATTAGGATTTAATTAATTAATTATATTTTAATCATTTTATCTTTTATTGTATTGAATTTTAATTGTTGTAAGCCGCCCAGAGACCTCTGGGTAGAGTGGGCGGCATATAAATAAATAAGTAAGTAAGTAAGTAAGTAAGTAAGTAAGTAAAGTCTGCAGAATAATACTTCCAAATATTGCAGCCCAAGCACCCTGTTTGCCCAAAATATGACTTCTTATAACCTATCTTTCTGTCTAGAAGACACATGAAAAGTAGTTTACAAAACATCATAATTCCTAGAACACATAACAAGGGGAAAGTTATGTAGCATTGAAATACAGTTAACTGTAATACAAACGTTGACTTCAAGAAATCATATGGATACTACATTTATACTTTGCATACAAAACCCATGTCACATAAAAATTGTTCAACCGAACAATTGTTCGATAGCATCTGTATGTCAAATAGCACACAGCAGGAATATGGTCTGAACATAGTCCTACTCACAGACTAGTCAAGTTGTTCTGCTCATTGTAAGAAATTTAGAACTAACTTATTCCTGAAGAAAATGATGTTAGGAAATGCAAAAAAAAACCTTTATTACTAAAGAGAATAGCACAAGGTGTGACACCAAGGACACCATCTGGAACAAACACTGAATTTACTGTTAGAAATATTATTCTAAATTTTTAAATTACTAAACTTGTACAGCTTTAGGGATGGAGCAATAGTAGCATTTTCTCTAACATTTCTATAAGCTTTCTCCACCACAAGGTATAAACATACTGATCTTATTTAATCACAACTAAGATTTCAGAGTAATGCAAAGTTACCATTTTATAAGACTTATCTATATCACTAAGGGTACACTCCAATGTATGTTTACTCAGAGATAAGTCCAATTCTGTCCAAACGAGTATACATTCAATGCATTTCGGATTGCACATCAGTCTCTTTCACAAGGCTAAAAATTCTTTTTTTTTTCCTTTACTAAAATATGTGTTATTTGAATATTTACATATTCTGGTAGAAACAAACAGCAGCTTTTCAGAGACAACAACAGCATTTCAAAGGTTCAAACTGCACTGCGTATTAACGGCTAGTTATCAACGCCGGGGGAGCATTAAGGTGGGAAATTACCTCAGAAGCAAGGGACTGAGGTTGGTACAGACATTTACATTGTTATTGCTCTTCTTGTTACCCCGACGGCACTCCCCTTACGTACACTATATCCCTTGAAGTCAAGCCACGAGTATTTATTGGTGCTCTTGTCTGAAACGACGGGACTCAAGAATTCCTCAACACCTTCCAGGTATTAGGTTCCAATTTTACCCTGAACTGGAGATTGTGTAACCTTTTCCCCAAATCTCCCCTTAGGCCCACTATACCCTCTTACTCCAGCTCCCAACGATAACCCCCTTCGCCAGCACCAGCTTCACAGTGGCAACCCGTGAGGCCTAAAAATGGCGGAACCGCGGTAATTTTTCGGGCTGCTGCAGTTCGATTTTCTCTCCCCTTCCCGCCTCCCCAGTCGCCCAATCTCTTCTAAGACACTCACAAAACAACCGCTCCCGGAGCCCCTTATCGTAAGGCCCCAACGTCCAAAACTCTCCTATCCCGGAAGCTACTGCCTCACGAGCCGTCGCCACCGACATCCGCCATCTTCCCCACCAGCAACCACAGGTGGTGCACACGATAGACGTCATCGCGCACACCAACCAAAGGGCGGGGGAGAGGAAAGAAGTTCGACGTGCGCAGGCGCTGTCAGAATGAGCCGAATTGCGACATTTCCTTGCGACTATTATGAAACTAGAGAGTCGCTGCTTCCGGTTGTGTTTCCGGAAAGGGATGCACTGATGATGTAGAATATGTGATTCTTAGACAATATATCTGAAAGGGACAGTAAAGCTTGCAACCTCTTCTATGACGCAAAAGGAACACTTAAAAATGTATTTGGATTCCAAGCGAAATGTAGTAGGGGCGGGTAAAGACGGGGGTTGGGCTGAGGAAGGAATCCTAACAGAAATAAAAATGAATAGGCATGTTTGGAAAGAAAAAAAATGTGAATAGGCCAAGTGTAATAAAGGCTGTGTACACTCATACGATAAGATTTTACCCCGATATAAGTCATCGTTCCCATTTCTTAATTTCATTAATGCGTTTAGGCGTTTTGGTTCTGAAAATAGGCGAGCGCGGAGGCATTGCAACGAAGCATGTACTGATTTCTAGTTAGTAACCTACGAAATTCGGGATGCGAGCCTATGTTCCACCTGAGAATAAATGCTAGAGGTTTTGTTTTCAAACGTGTGTAGGATGATCCGTTTTATATATATATCAGAATTATATACACATACACTGTTGATGAGCTGGGAGAATATATAACTACACTAAAAATTTCGATTGGTGAAGTTATGCTTGATAAACCCGGCTGACAGATAACATCTCTAGAGTCGTTTCTATAATAGCTTTAATATTTGTGATTCCACTCATCAAGCTGTTGCATTTTTTTCATTGTTAAATGAACTTGGTTATTTTTCATTCTTCGTTGGTGTATTGGTTTATTTAAGGCTAGGAAAATTATTTTTTAAAAATTAAAATGCTAAAACAGTGGCATCACTTTGCAACGGCTGGGAATGCGTCATACAGTGTGATTTGGAACTAACAGACTGATGTCTCGTAAAAGGAATAAAGAAATCTGGCATGATGGTATAAAATACAGTAGCTCCTATGTTTGCCACATTCAGTTTAAGATTGCCGCGGATGTTCTCAAATTATACCTTGGGCTTGAACAATTTAACATTAAGAATTGTAGAATAGGTGTAATCCAAAGGCGTTGAGGTTGGGTGCTTATAACTCATTATAGGTGTCCTCGTCTTCCTTCACCGGCCTCCACCCCCCCCCCAGGAGGCGGGACCCTAGCCGGAGCCCGGGCAGAGCCGAGGCACGTCAGTGGCTGCTACACTTCCTGCTGCCGCTATGGCCGCGAGAGCCTCTGCTCCGGCGCTGAGCGTCGCCGCCACCTTCCTCCTCCTCCTCTTCACACTGTGCAGGGGCTCCTCGTCGGCCTCCCAAGAGCTCCGACGCCCGCCCGCCAAAATAGGTGTGATTGGCGCTGGCATCGGGGGCACCTCAGCAGCCTACTTTCTGCGCCAGAAGTTTGGTAGAGATGTCCAGATTGATGTGTTTGAAAAAGGAGAAGTCGGGGGCCGTTTGGCTACTCTCAACGTAGAAGGAAAATATTATGAAGCAGGAGGATCTGTCATTCACCCCCTTAACCTGCACATGAAACATTTTGTCAAATTGTTAGGACTCTCTGTTCCTGCAAAGCAAGGTGGACTCATGGGCATTTACAATGGAGAAGAGTTTGTCTTTGAGGAGAGCAGCTGGTACATTTGGAATGTCATCAAACTCCTCTGGAATTACGGACTGAATACCCTGCGAATGCACATGTGGGTAGAAGAAATCTTGGACAAGTTTATGAGGATCTATCGTTACCAATCTAATGATTATGCCTTCAGTACGAGTGAGGCTTTGCTTCATGCCCTGGGAGGATCTGACTTCCTTCAGATGCTGAATCAGACCATTGACAAGTCCATGCAGAAAGCGAGCTTCTCCCAGAAGTTCATCAATGAGATAGTAACTCCAGTCATGAGAGTCAATTATGGACAAAGTGCCAGCATCAATGGCTTTGTGGGTGCAGTATCTTTGGCAGGTGCTGAGTCTGGACTTTGGTCAATAGAAGGAGGTAACAAATTGGTCTGCACTGGCCTGCTTGAAGCTTCTAAAGCACACCTGATTTCTGGCACTGTTTTCTCACTAGAAGAAAAAGCCAGGCAAGGACGCTCAGGAGGTACCGTGAAACTCTATGAAGTGACATACAATTCTACAACGGGATTAACATCAGATTTGTATGATATCATTCTGATAGCTACTCCATTACACCGTAAAATTGCCAACATAACATTCCATAACTTCAGACCACCTATCCCAGAGTTCTCCAGACCATATGAACAGATTGTGTCAACATTCCTCCATGGACAGATTAATGCTTCTTTCTTTGGCTACCAGGACCCTTCCCAATTCTCCTTAACGGCTATTTTCACAATGGAGAACCCAAAGCTATTTTTCAATAGCCTTGGTGTTGTCTCTTCAGTACAAAACAAAATGGATCCATTTCTGGGCTCTCATGTTTGGAAAACATTTTCAGCTGACTCTTTGACCGAGGAGCAGATAAACTTGCTATTCTCATCCTATGACACTGTAGAAGAAAAGAAGTGGCTAGCTTATCCACACTACAGCCCTCCAGAGAAGTGCCCTCCTGTCATTCTCCACGATCACATGTACTACCTCAACAGCATAGAGTGTATTGCAAGTGCCATGGAAATGAGTGCCATCTCAGCCAAAAATGTAGCACTCTTGGCTTACCACCATTGGTACAATCAGACAGACATGATTGATCAAGAAGATTTGCATGAGAGACTTAAAACAGAACTTTGAGGGCATACACATTGCCGAGAAACTGAGCCTATGCTGCAGCAGCAAAACCTGTGTTTAAACAGAACATGATTCATTACGTATATGCTTCTCCCTTGAAATGCATGGATCTGAGCAGCAGTTTTTGGTTATAGTTTTTTCAATAAATAAATGTTTCGACAAATTAATAAATGTTCAATAAATACTGTGTATAAATTCATTTCTAGGAAGTGACCTGAGAAACATGCATCTCAGGCTTACTTAGGCCTCTGTTGCTGACAGTGTGGCAACTCCTGGTCTGTCGTAGTGACTCCACATGGCATCCAGGGAGGGTGCTGGGGCATGCCAGGAGGCTGACGTCGGTTGGAGGAGAGGTCTGTATGTTAATCAACTATTTATGTTTTGTACTTATGTTTGGAGGGGCATAAGCGATATATACAGATCTTGAACTACACAGCGGCCTAGTGGCCTTAACCCCAGCTTTGCTGAAGGGAGAAGTGTACATTATAAGTTAAAAGGCTATTGCCAACATCAATGACAAGGGCTGTAGCAGGATGTGCGCGCTAGTAGTTTTAAAGCAGGCCTTAACAAGAAATGACCATTGATTCCAGAAGGATTGTGACTACTTTTGACAAAGTTCTGCAACAGATTAAACGTAATCAGACATGAATAAGCAAATTAGGCATATGCCTTACCCAAGAACAAATGATTTCAAGTATCTTCTTACAAACTATCATCTTGCTATAATCTATGATTGAGGACTGCTGCTAGATAGGGATGGATAAGTTAACAAGGATATCTCAAAGACTGTCTCAGACTGTTCCTAATCTGACATTTCTACTGATCATACTGATTTTAGGCCCAACTGCTGAATTTTTATTTTTAAATTCATTTGCTGCTGCTGATTCTTTGCATTTTGTTCATTTGTTGTGGTTTGAAGAAAGGTGTAAGTTTAATAAAGATGACTTACATAGTCTTTGCATTCCACTCCCTTCTCAGGGTCTTTCTGAATAGCTGGATGCAAATCAATGCATCACAACAGCTATATGTATGTAGAGAATGGGCTGATGGCAGTAGCAAATCCCCCTCACTGAGGGGCATGGATCTTATGTGTTGTCCCTGTATACCTCTGCATAAGTATGCTTATTAATTATGCTTCTTTCATACAGTACTTCAAAGCAAAGCAACTCCTATCAAACTAAAAATCCTACTTAGGGAAGTTTGTACTTTCAGCTTGACCTTTCAATAATACAATCAGTTTCCAGTTGCACTGTCAAAAATACAAATTATTTTCTTTCCCAAACATACATAAATTTAGGTGGCTGGATGAACCCATCAATATAGCAAAAATATTTGAGGTATTTAGTAATCCAGGAAGTTTTTTCCCATTGCTACCAGTGTTTTTCCTACATCCTGGTAAAGTGTGAACTGGAATTTTGTAATAAAGAGTAAATAAAAATATTGACAAACCACAGGCAACCAAAACAATGTACTTTAATTTATGCAAAATAATTGAACAAAATTATGACTGAACAAGAACATTCTTAATCTAATACATAAAGAAAATAAACAAAATGAATTCAATTCAACCCTAATATTACAATGTTCATAAGGTTACATGAGTAAAGATTAACGCCTCAGCCAGCCTATGTTCAAACGGGGAATAGTGCCTTCATTTAGTCTTTCTGACCTCCAAAACATTCTGCATACATCCAAGATAAAGACAAAGTTTGGAATATTAAACTAGCCACAGCAGATGTCCAAAGTTCTGTGCCTCATACACATCAGTATTTCCAACTTCGTCAATGTTTGACAGATTTTTTTAAAAAACATGTCCTTGGCAGAACATGATTGTATGATCCTGCAACAGCTTCTTTCGCTATTAAAAGAAAGCTATTATTGCCCCAGGGATACATGGGAAAAATGTGTTCCCCCAAACCACTGTTCAGACTACAGCAAAGTCTAGCTGTTTCTTCTAATATTGAAAACTTCGTTTGGTCTGAATGTCATCAAGAATTTGCTGCAACTCTTCATCTTCAAACCGACCCTCTAAGCTGAGAGAAGAATACACAGTTAATATTAAAGTGGTAACAGTCATGGTTTCCAAAAAAGACAATTTCAAGCCTATACTCAAAGCCCACAGTCATGAAGAGACTACCCCTAAACTGTGGTATGCTTCCTTCCTCCCAATATCACAAAAAATCAGACTAATCCTACTTTATTTGGGATTCTGTATTTAATAAAGACAGTGCTCTGTACTGTACAGAGTGACAGTCTAGGATTTTAGCCGCCTAGAGTGGTCTTAACCGGCTAGATAGGCGGGATATAAATAAAATAAATAAATAAAAATAGATAATATTTTTGGACCTTCGTTCAAATGCTTGATGAAGTAAAGACACTGGGGATTCACTCGAACATCTCACATACATCAAAAACCTACTAAGGTTGCCACAAGTTAAAAATAGCTTGATGGCACACTACACATATACTTACTCAAAGCAAGGAGCTGCACATTTTAACAGTAGCTGCATTTAGAAGATCAGGAAATGAATGAGCCACATTTTTGCATGTTCTTTCCAATTACCTGTAACTCAATACATCTTAGGCTATTACAGTATGCTATTAAATCCAAAGTATCAGATTATGGTCTAAACAAGCCTTCCAAATGTTAAATGCAAACCACTCATCTGCTTGGAGAGCTCACGCAATGTCTGTCAATTGGGATGCAATAGCGTACTATGCCTTGAATAAACCAGAAGATAACTATGACAGTAAAGAGCATGCTTCCAATCATTCAAACTACCTAAATCACCTGAATGTATTCAAATAATTTACATGTAGCAGATATTAGATAAGGTTCCTAAAAATTTGATGCCTTGCTCTTTGTTTGGCCTAGAATACAATGTCAGTCTAAAAACATTTCCTAATGTTTTTAGTGGTCAAAATGACCAGATAGGCGGGGTATAAATAAATAAAATAAATAAATAATCAAATAAAGCAGAAATAAAGCAATGAAACAGCAATTGTGCAAAGTAATTAGTAGACCAGTTCTTTATGCATCATGGCTTTTAAAAAAATATTTGACAGTAACAGATCAGTGAATGGAATGGACTACCAATTCTAAATCCAATTATAAAACCACAGGTGGATATTGATAGTATTAAGATTTTACTGGTGTTCATGACCCTTTTGGGTGATTGCAGGAATCCTTTGATTTAAGGTAACTCACCTGGGAATTAAAGCTTTGGCCTCCTCAGCTGTCTCAGGACACAGATTAGCTAAACATGCCAATTCAAATTTATGGAGCTTCTTCTGCAGCAGCAAACTGCAGGGAAAAACATAAATATGCATACAGAAGTACAGAAACAGTAAAGAGCCAGGGCAAAATATGAACAAAATAATCAAAGATGAAAGGAAACAGGTGAAGTTTCACAAATGCAGTCGTTTCACAAAATAATTACCATATTTTTCCATTTAGAAGACACACACACCCCTTTTCTAACTCAAAAATTAAGAAAACGTAGCTTTGAATATTCAGCCTCTGGGCTCAGGACGCTCAGACATTAGGAGTCCCTGTTTCATCTACAGGCTCCACCTCCAACAAGGTGTGTTCCAATTGGTTTGTTCAGCATCAGCTGATGTCAGTTCCATAAGGCTCGTGATAGCAGGAAGCTACGTCTTCTGATTGTAGGAAGCTGAGCCTTGTGATTGAAGGAAGCCTGTTTACAGAGGTAAGGAACAGGCAGTTTTGTTCTCAGCTTACTTCCGTGTATAATACGCCCCTCAATTTTTAGTGTAATGTTTTTAGGAAAAAGTAGCATATTAGTACAGTACACAGAAAAAATATGGTAACCTTTTTCCATATATAGTTTCTGCATGGAGTTATAATACTACATATTCAATCAGTGTGGAATTTCACCCACTACAATAAAAATGGCACTGTTCCCTCCATCTTACTCCTTCCTGCTCCTAACTTACAACCCATCCATGGTGTTGCATTGGTTGCTAATGTACTTCTTAGATACTCTCTCCACTTTGTTCTCCTTGCAAGTCAAGAAAAGAGTCTCTAGAAAACTCAGACATTAAGACTTTCCCTTAAAGGTACAGGAGGGTCTCCGGATGAAGAGGTTTCTTTGCCCATGAAGAAGCAATAGGGGCACAACAAAATCAGAAGAGAAAAACTGAAATGCACAGTCAGCAGATTTTTATAGAATTAAAAAGACCACTGGTTCCCAAACTAATCTGTGCACACACACATGTGGTATAAAGAAATTCCAAAGGGGGCATGGCTCTGGGAAATTTTCATAATATAATTGTATTTTATTGTTTTATCTTTTTACTGTATTTAAATTGTTGCAAGCCGCCCAGAGACCTTTGGGTAGTGTGGGCAGCATATAAGTTAAATAAATAAATAAACAAATAACAATTTTCTAAAATAAAAATGTTACCAGGGTAAACATTTTCCTATTTTCAAATTCTATACCATGAAATAGATTTGAAATATTTTTATCCAAATTTCTATTTATTTTTCATTTTAAATTAATCACTGAATTTTTCGCTCAAATAGTGTTAGATGATGGAAAAGGAGAACCAAAGAAGCATGAGGCTTTCTCAAAACTCAGAAAGCTGGCATGATCCCCCCCAACCCTTTAGTTTTGGCACCACAGAAATGGATCCATACAGGGCCAAGATGATCCATCAGATGTCATATCTATTCGCCTGCTCTACACCTTCTATATTTCATTACAATTGTAAACTAAAGTACGGTAATTCTATAACACAAACCCATCTTAAAGCGAAAACAAATCTATTTAAACACAAGGTTGTTTGTGCTCTTGAAGGCTTTCATGGCCGGGATCCAATGGTTGTTGTGGGGTTTTCCCACAAGGGCCAAACAGTCCGAAAAACCCACTACAACCACAAGGTTGTTTCTTTGTTCAGGTCAGCAGAACTGTACCCATTTGTATCAATTTCTGCATGAGCCAAAGGAAAATATTATTACTCACCTGCGTACACTTGCAATTGTCTCCCGGTTTTTGAAACGGCTGAAGCGAGCAGTATAGTTCAAAGTCTTCATGAAAACTTCAGAGAGTTCCTGCTCGTCTTCTGCACTCTCATTTTGCTGTTTCCGATGTTCAAGAAGCATATGCACTTCTGAATTTAGAAGGGTTTCGGCAGTCTCAAATTCTGCAAGTAAAGGTGGATGAAATACAGTATAGAGTTCAAAAGCAACAGAAGTTCACATGTCTATGGGAATTACTGTGAGCCTCAGCAAAATGAAGCAGCAACATGTTGGAAACATGTTAGACTGTGAGTAATATTAGTTCTGAATGCTCTCCCACATAAAAAGCAACAAAAATCTAGCTCAAAAAAGGGGACATCAAGTGAACAATTCTAATTTAATCCTCTTCCAATTTATACAGCAAAATGGGATATGATTAACTTTAAAAGAGGCATATTTTTAAAACATGGTGACTAAATGAATGTTTTTATTAAATATATACTCCTGTTTTAATATTATTGCTGGCTTTGGGCAATGAAACTATGATCCTCAATCAATTAAGCCACAGAATTTGAAATATCACACTGCAGTCAACCTAATTATTTCATAACTAGTCAATGTTTTACATGGAGACAAAACCTTAATTTTTAAATGTTATTATAAGTGATGGTTCTAACCTATAAAGCCCTAAATGGCTTGGGGCCAAGATATCTCAAAGCCTGCACTTCCCTTTATGAGCCTATTCAAGTGTTAAAACCATCAGGAGAGGCTTTCCTCTGAGTCCTGCCACCTTCACAGGTGCATTTGGTGGGGACATGAGAGTGGACCTTCTCTGTCATTGCTCCCGAACTCTGGAACTCCCTGTCACAGGAGACTAGACTGGCCCCATCTTTGCTGTCCTTCCACAAGCAGACAAAGATCTTTCTCTTCAGACAGGCTTTCCCTGAGTGAATGGCTGCCAAGAGGGATTTTTAAAATGGATTGTTGTACTTTACTCAACGTAGCCTCTAATCTTCAGCCCGGGGCTCTGCCTCTTGCACGTACAACTTCACCCCTGCGTGCGTGCATGTGCGACTCCGCCGCCCTGCGCACACAGGGTTCTGTCAAGATTGGAACCAAAGGGGTTGAACATGATTGCTGAACAGAGAGAGGCAGAGTTACGAACGGATGTAGCTTAGAGGGAACCTTGACCTTACTGCATTGAATGTGTCTGGGTGTTGCTTATTTGTGTGTGTTCTATTCATTAATCATTTTAGTATTATATACTCATTACTGTCTTTAGGTGTTGCTTATTTGTGTGTGTTGTATTCATTGATCCTTTTAGTATTATATACTCATTACTGTCTTTTAATTGTTGTAAGCCACCTTGGGTCCGTTTAAACCTTGGGTCCGTTTAAACGGTTTAGGACCTCAATCCTTGGCGGAACGCCTCCTCCCACCTAGATCTACTCGTATCACCCGATCTAGCCAGGAGAGGCGACTGAGGAGCCTAATGCAGAGGGAGGCCCGGAAAGAAAAAACAAGACACCGGGCCTTCTCGGCAGTGGCTCCCAGGCTCTGGAACAAGCTCCTCCCTCGCTGGGCACTTTGAAAAACCAACTCAAGACCTGGTTATATAGACAGGCCTTCCCTCCAGGCACTACGTAACTTTCTCTTTTTCTCTATCTTTATTTTGTTCTGTGTAAATGTTGTAAACTGTTATTTGATATTAAATGCTTTTTTCTGCGTTTTGTGAGCTGCCCAGAGCAGACTATGTCTAAATGGGCAGCATATAAGGTCAATAAAATAAATAAAATAAAAATTGGGTCCTTTTTAAGGAGAGAAGTGGATTACAAATATTTAAAATATAAATATTTTCCCTCACAGGACCTAAGGCTATATGAATCTTAAAAACAAACAAAATAAATAAATAAAAAGAAAAAACACCCTCCAAACAAACTAAAACCCAGAGGGTTACAAAACGTGGATTACAAAAACTGTATTTAAAATAAAAATATTTTCCCTCACAGGACCTAAGGCTATATGAATCGTAAAAACAAACAAACAAAATAAATAAAAACAAGAAACACCCTCCAAACAAACTAAAACCCAGAGGGTTACAAAAACACAGCCAAAAAAAAAAAAAGCAGCACAACACTCAAACATCTTGGAAAGGTCCTTCCTCATCTGTCACACCAGTGGGCAAACGACTATCTAAATAAAAATGTCTTTACCTGCTACTGAAAAGATAACAGGGAGAGGGCCACCTTAGTCTTCCTGAGAAGAGAGGACCATAGTCTGGGAGCAGTGACTGGAAAAGCTACCTCTCAGGTTCCTCACCACATGTGCCTCTCTTGCCACTCTTTAAGATCCAAGCAGATTCATATTGGGAAATGCAGTCCTTCAGATAACCATGTTTGTGTGAATGACTGGGATCACTTCAAGCTACACACAGGACAGAAACTAGTCTAGTGCTTGTGAAAAGCCCGACATGCACGTTGTTGTAGCCAGGGGGACATAAACCGTGTTCTGTGGTTGGTACAAGACATCTAGTCCCGGGGAGTTAAGCACCAAATTATTCGTGTGTATTATCTAAAACGTGGACTACTCAGGGTGAGGGTGGACAGGCATCTAAAATTACCTGTACCTCCCTCTCCACAACCATCTGGAACAGGGATCTCTCAAAACCAGTTGCTGAGGCATGCACAGGGCGCTGCTATTGCCTTCGGGTCCTGCTTTCCTGAGGCCGCGTCGCTTTTCCTATCAAGGCCAGCCCAGCCCAACCGTCTCCCAAATCCAGCGGCTCACCTTTGGGAAAGACAAGTTGAGAAGCATCCTCTTCCACGTCCACCGCCTTCGCATCGGCGCCTCCGACCGCCATGGCCGCGCACAACTCCGGAAACGAGGGACGGAGACGCCCTCGGGAGGGAGGGAAGGAGGGAGGAGCTGCCTCGCTCCCCCCCCCCGGGGCTGGCTTTCCGGAGTGGGGATTGGGGCGGGGAAGCCCGGCAGAACTGTTGGTTGACGGCGGGAGGTGCAGAGAGGAAACAACGTTGTGTTAAGAGGGGCTCCTTCGCAAGTGTTCTGAGGCTTCCACCACCGGGCCAGTGAAAACTACTTGGGGGGGGCGGGAATGAAAGGGGGGGCAAAACAAAAGAATTGCAGCCTTAACCCAGGTGTTCTTGGACTGCAATTCCCAGAAACCCCAGCCAGCACAGCTGGTGGTAAAGGCTTCTGGGAATTGCAGTCCAAAAAACACCTGGGTTACCCAAGGTTGGGAACCACTGGCCTAAAGCTTTGCAATTCTTTCAGTGGCTACGCAAGTGTGCGTTCCATTGACTTTAGGGGGGTCTACTCGCAGCGCAGTGGGTGCAGGCCGGGCTGTAGCGAAACACGGGTGTGAGCTGTTTCCTGTTAGTACATCTTATGTAAGGTAGGCCTGTTGTTTCTTAGGGTCGCTATAGTTGAATATAAATCCTTTGGACAATTAATTAGCCCTAAAGACGGTTAATTTTAAATTCTCATATAGCATGGACTAATTCTGCAGGTAAGGAACTTGGGAAAATAATTTTCGAACTACATTTCTGATTAGCCGCCCATGGGATTCTGGGAACTGTAGTATCCAAAAGTGACTTCTCTATATGTACTATTATTTAAGATACATCACTGTTTCCCTAAGTTGCTTTTCCTTAACAGAATTGGCTCGCTAAGGGTTATTACAGACAGAAGGGATCGTATCTGAATGTCAAAGTACCTGCAGGTTTGGTATCCTAGGAAGTTCACTGGTGTTGATAGATCGTATTCTGTATTGATGAAAGCTAAGTGGGTGAAACCCTATAGAGCTGATATTCTTAGGCGATATTCCTAGGCAATACTGTATCAGATATCAGGGAGAGTTATTCCCTTCACGCCAGCTGTCATACAGGAAGATGAAGCAAACGGCTTTAAGTGGCATATCTCTTTCAAGGTGCAGTAAAGGTGAAAACAGGGTTCTTCCTCCTATGACGGATAGTGGAGTTCTGTGGATATAGACTCAGTTTCAGGCAGTAAAACATTTAGAACTGGCTGGTCAAATCTGTCTTCATAGTAATAATTTAAAAAACCTATGTGAAAGAAAGTTGGGGAACGGAGCATACAGGTTTGTGTCTGTCTCTTCCAGGCTTTCTGCTCAAATAATTCACTCAGAGCTCCCTGCAATATGGTTCAATCCTCTTCCTCACCAGATCTGGTGGCCAGAGATCTGAGCCCACAACAAAGCAGCAGGCAATGGTGGTTCTAGCAAACTCAAGCAGAGGACACGACATTGGCAAAACTGTTATCCTAACCAGCCTTTCTCAATCTCCTGGGATGACTCTGGGCACTACAGGCTTTGTAGTGGGCTGGGCAGAGAAAGAAAAGCACTGCTCTAATTCATCTTTTCTTTTACCGGCTGTTCCCAGAATTTATCAGACACGAGAGAAAGACCTTCAGATTTTCACTGTATCCAGATGAAAATCATCCAACTTTTACTACAGGAAACCATGCACCTTGCTGAGGAAAAACTTCTTTTTCACACTTTTAACAGCACAGTATTAAGCAGCGTCCAAGAGCCCAGTTAATTTAGTAGGAATAAGATTCATCTGGTATGTGTGGTTATGATTGCAAAATCTGTATGATCTCATATTTAGTTGCATGTAGCTGTAATAATCCTGTGTTGAGAAAATTATACTTTCCTAGTTGTAGGAAGCATGACAAGAACCCATGCAGATGTAGTTTGGTAATGTTTAGTATCTATACACGTAATTGAGCAATAATGAAAAACATTAAGTTGTAAATCATGACTTGCTTATAAGTTTTCCTAAAATAGAACTTTAAAATATGGCCTACTTAGAATCAATAGACTAAATATATAAGGAAGATGGATCCAGGATGATTTTTGTCATACATTTAAAATATTATCACTCTCCTTTTGCAGAATCCCTGAAATTGGCCAAGGGCCATTGTGCTTCACTCATATGAATAATGTATCCATGGGTTTAATTTCTGCTATAAGCTGGTGTGTGTCAAATTGTAATGTGAGTTCACAAGCATGTCCTCCAGTGTTCCTCTGATTAGAAATCTAAAAGTCAAACTCAGTTCTACACACAGAAGAATATCACATTTATTATTATGTGTCATCAGGTTCATTCTAACTTAGTGTGATTTCTAGATGTGAAACAAAAGTGGTTTTCTACTCCCTTCTCCTGATGGCATGTTGAGATGGTGGATTATACCATTGATACTATGGTGTAAAGAAAATCATCTCACAGATGGTAGGACACATAACCCCATTACCCACACACATGCCTGGTGATTTCAGATAGCCCTAGGCCCAGTGGGGATTTGAACTCCTAGTTCCTGGCTTGGCCGCCAAGATTTCCAACTCCCTGAGCTGTATCAGCTTTTATCACATTTAAAATGAGTGATGTAATATTCAGTGTTCTATATCAGTCAGGAAACAAAGTAGCCCAAGCACAGAAACACAAAGAATTAAATTTTTGTCCAATATTTTTCTTTCTGAGACTTTATTTTCTGATAAGGAATTTTGATAAAGACACCCCCCCCATTTCATGCTTATTCTATCATCTTACTTGCTTTAAATTTCAGTTTGCCATTTTAAAATTTTAAAATACCACACCAAATGGATTGTTATAGATTTCAAAAAAGAATGTCAATGTGAAAAATCAAACCTGATAAGAAGAGAGCAATAAAAAAGGGACAAGATACAAATGTATCCATTACAATTTATTTTCTACAATACTTCATTAGAGGGTAAAGTTCAATGATTTACACTCAGAAGTTATTATATAGTTAGGAGGCAACCAAGTGTAAAAACAAAGAATTGGTCTGACATCTCTGCACTGAAGGTCAAAAGAGGTTCCTTGTTTTAAAAGGAGCAGCTTAATTTAACCAAAATATTAATTATTTTTGTGCTGGAAAACATAAAACGGTACTCAGTGAAGACTGGAAAGAATGAATTAGGGAACATAATTATGTGCCAAATGGTGGTTAAGATTTACATACTGTTTTGCCATTAATCATCAGATGCAGTTACTTGACAATGTGATATTGTGACTTTAATATCTTTCTGGCTGAAATGCATCTGCTGATATCATCTATGTGTTATTAGGAAAACAGAAAATCCTGAAAGGAAAATATTCAGAACAGTGAGCCTCCAGTGATCAAAGACGGTCTCAGCTGTAATGGATGGGAGTTGGGGTGGGGAGACAATGACGAAAAAACAAAACATCCAGCCATACACCCTCTTAAAGATTCATAGTTGCAGCCAGGTAGATTCCCAACCACAGTGTCTTGAAAAGAATCCATCTAGACCAAAAGGCACTTGCTTGTAGCTAAGGATGAGCCAGTTTCCAGTCAGATCAGAAGGCTATTGCTAAGATCTTTAGGCAATCAGATTATACACTTATCAGCTGAAAAATACAACCGACTCTAAGCCAAGTTCTCTTTTGACTATTTTGTTGGTTTTTGCATCTTTCCAATGTCTGTTAGTTTGGGCACGTCATCGCTACGTATCAGACAAAAGTTTTCCTTCTGAGGACAGCCTTTCCTCATCCCCATCCCTTTTTGCAGGAATGACACAACTTACACACTTATCTATACTCAAACTCCATAACAGAGCAATGCTGAACGTAGCCATTTCTGAGAGGACTGTTTTGTGCTTCGTGGCCTGCTTGTATTCCACTGACTACAAGAAAACACCACAATCCAACCTTTAACAGAAGCATTTACATTTAAACAAACTAAGTGGCTAGATGGAAACGGGCAGGAAATGAGACCACCTCTACTTTCAAAACCAAGTTACCATACTTCAGTGGAAAAGTAATATTAAACTAAGTAAGTCAAGTCACTCCTAGAAGTCTGTTCTTTAAAATGGCAATTAAGGCCCCCACTTGGATCTTAATCTCCCCCCACCCATTAAAATGAAGACTAATTAACACTATACACTGCTGAAGACACATAACAGAGCAAACTTTTTGTTTTTTAAAAAAAGCAAGATTGAATAGCCCGGCACTATATGCCTGCATGACCAGTCTCACCGAATGTGCTCAGGGGTGAAAGTTTAGCACCATTTTTTCCCTTTTTGCTTTTTAAAAAATCTTTACAATTTAGATTCTAACATAGAACATTTGAACAGTAATTAGTGTAGCCCTATGTTTCAATACTGTCTGAGAGCAGAGATGGATGGCATGAGCAGAACTGAACTCTCCTCTCCCCTGAACAATCTCCCACAGGTTCAGGGCAACTGGAACAGTAACTACAAATCACCCCCATTGGTAAGCAAGCTGATTTATTCTCAGGAGTAGGAAATTGTGAAACGCTCCCTTCATATCTAACACATTTCATTATCATTAGAAAGGGAAAAAAGATCCAATACAAAACCAAAAGCTGGGACAGCACTGCACATATCAGTAACACAAGCTTCTTCCCTCCTCACATCTAGAGATGTATTCAATGACAAGCAAAACTGCAATAGTTTTTTTTTTTTGAAATATGTGGTAGAGAAATATGAAATGTGGATGCATTCTGGACTCTGAATAGCTTTGCTGTGCAGGGAAAATTATACAGATTCCCCATCTTTCAGCCAGCAGTTTTTCTTGGTACTCCTAAGCCAGATACTCTTAAATACTGCTCTTTTATACCTATTTATGAGGCTGTGCTCAAAAAAACAGAAGGTATTTATTCCTTCTGCCACTAGTGAAAAACCCATTCACAGAAATTTATAGAAAAAGATGATTCACAGATAATTTCCGGCTTTTAACAAGCCATTTATGAAATACACTATTGTTACATGTACTGCATTTAGGGTATGGAATTCTTATTATACCAGGTATAGTAAGGTGCTCTTCACCTGGACCTTTTTTCCTGTGAAGCTGATTACCAAGGTTTTCAGAAGTCTGGCCTTTCCATTTTATATTTCTGTAGATACATTTAAGAGTCATCATACTGCCTCCTATTATATCATTTAGTGACTCATACAGCAGAATGAGGATGGTGGAATGAAAAGGAAGCTTTACTACTTACTATTCAGTATATTTAGGGACTAGAGCAATGGGGAAGAGAATACCAAATTCCACAGGAGAGTTGAGTGAAGATCTAGACCAGTTTCTTTTGTTGGGTGGGGGTTAGAAAAAGATCCCTCAGGTTCCTAATCTAAGTACACTTATCTGGAAGCAATTTCGATTTAAGTCAATTTGACTTACTTCCAATTATATGTATTAATGGCTGCTACAGCATCAGTGTAACAATTACACCTGTATTAGATAACTGCTTAAAGCTAAAATTTGCTGTGTGTTTATTTACCCACATATTAGGGTCACACTAGAGAAAACTACTGTGTTAAAAATCACAGGTTACACAGAGCATTCCCTATAAACGAGTTTCACACCCTTTTTATTACTTTATTAAAGATGGCTTGTGGGGAACAGATCTGTCCCAGTCTGGGAACAGACTATGTTACTTGTATTTTAAGTAAGACACCCAGAAGAAATGCAAAGAAGATTATAACCTTGGAAGATAAGGAAACTTGTGCTGCTCCTATACAACCCACACTTTAACTTCATTCATACATTATTTTCCTATCTAAAGGTTACTTTCCTTACATGTCAAAAACAAGAGGAACTAGATGTGAGAACTAAAATCTCTTGGATATGTGCAAGCAATGCTTTTATCAGCAGAAAAAAATGTTTTCCCTTTCAAATATTTGATTGCCATCTTTTGCAAGGAGGAGTCCCTGCTGGTGTACTGTCCTAACAGATCATGTCATCTGTTTGCCCAGAATTTCAGAGGATGCATCAGCTCATGGTAGATAAATATCAGAGGTTAAGAAAAATTAAAAATAACCTAAATTTTTGTTGGACTCCGTTGCCCAGACTGCCAGGAGAACTCTCCTACTTGATCAAGGGGGCTATTATAAATAACAATTCAAATGAACACAGTGCAATCTAGCACACAGAGCAATCTGAAGTGATACTGCTATTCCTTTAGGTTCTCTCTATCCAACTGCAACTGTTATTCTTGGAGCATCAAATCTGATCAAATCTCATTCTGAAGGAAGGAGTTAAGGCTCTGACCCCTGTTGTTCAGTTGCACTCACTGGTAGCCCCCACCTTTCAGTTAGCTGGAAGGCAGACTTGGCAACGGAAGCTAGCATCATAAAATGGTGCAGTAATAGAAGTAACTGGACCAGGAGGAGGAGGCATCTGCCCCAATGATGTCGTAGCTGTTAGTGGCAGCTGGGGGCCGGGACTGGTCATGCAGTCTTGTGTCAGGAGTAATGATTGTAGAGGGGCGGGGCATGAAGAGTGCCATTCTGAAAACAATGCTGACGAGAAGCCATGTATTCTGCATAACTGATTGTCACCTTCTCACTGCGATATCTGGAAAAACAACAACAATGAGCCTTTTAAAATACACTTCTCAAAAGAATAAACTCATACAGATCTATATTCAGAATATTGTTGATACAAACATTTGTTGATGCAATCATCCATCCAAGTTTGTATCAATATAAATTCATTCAAATTATATTTTAATTGTATTACAGTAATGTTGGACTCAGCCATTATGGTATGTATTTGTTTGTGCCAGTAGTCTTAACTTGTAACCCAAAAATTGCATAGGCCTAATACATTTTAGTAGCACTTCCTTGTCTAACAACTCTTGACAACGCAGTCTTCAGGTGCATTGTCAGATGAGTTCAACATCATAAATCCTCCTCCCCACCTTCTCAGTGTCACTCTAATTTAGATTTAGAAACTCTGTCCACATGTTTCTACATATGGGGAAAATATTCCTAACTTAATATAGATATAGGTCTGATAAGGCTCATCAGAAGAGGAAGACAGAGCTACAGCACTTTTAATAATTATTAAAAAAGGACATTTCAGCTGTTGATGCAAACCACACATGAACACCAGTGGGATTCTGGCCAATATATTTCTCTTTTCAAATGGCAGCAACTAAGGTACATGGGCTTAGATAGGATAGGATGCAACTATCTGCAGCTTCTTCCATTGCACCAGGTACATCTGCAGTTTCACTTACACCGAACTGAGACATTTATAGTTTTGAGGCTGCAATCATACTCGTGTTTAATCAGGTACAGCTCCATTAAACAGATATCTAAAAAACATGTACAGGACTTTTCTCCACATCTCATAAATATCCTAAATAGTATAGTGTTACATGTTATGTAAGTTGTAAGTCATGCATTTTATGTTGTTAGAGCATTAAAATAACTGCTAAAAAAACAGACGACATATACCGTATTTTTCGCTCCATAAGACACACTTAATTATGGAGCAAAAAATACAATACATCGAAGGCAAAAAGGCAGGGGGAAAGGACGGGAGATTCAAATCTCCCGCCCTTTTCCCCTGCCTTTTTGAGGTCTGCAAGGACTCCCTCCAATGTTGGGGAAAAGCCCTTGGAGACCGGGGGGGGTCCAATCGTGGCGGTGGGGGACCCACAGGTCTCTGATGGCTTGGAGGATGCCATTGGAGACCCCCTGGGGGCTCCCCGCTGCCACGAAGGCAAAAAGGCAGGGGAAAAGGACAGGAGATCAAGGGCTTTCCCCCAACATTGGAGGCAGCCCTTGCAGACCTCCAAAGGCAAAAAAGTAGGGGGGAAAAATGGGAGATCCAAATCTCCCATCCTTTTCCCCTGCCTTTTTGCCTTTGCAGCAGCAGAGAAAAAATGGGAGATCCAAATCTCCCGTCCTTTTCCCCTGCCTTTTTGCCTTTGCATTGGCGGGGGACCCCCAGGAGGTCTCAGACGGCTTCCTCCAAGCCATCAAAGACCTCCTGGCGGGGTGTCCCCCATTTGCTCCATAAGACGCATACACTCCCCCTCCCTTTTGGAAGAAAAAGTGTGTCGTATGGAGCGAAAAATATGGTATATCTGTTTCTGAAAACTGTAAACATCCTGCCCCCCCCAGCAGTAAATAAAAATTCTCATGGCTTCAGAATGTTCAGAAACTTTACATCTGTAGTTCCTTCCACCAGTAATTGACATTTCATTTTTATTTGCTGTTTTGTTTCTGCATAGGTCAGGCTGACCAAGGCACCCTAAAGCAGAAAACAGCAATACTAGAAGAAAGAGAAAACAAAAATGTCCAGTGCAGATTCCTACTGTATCTTCCTATATGTACCACACAACCACAAAATTCTGCTGCATGAAGTTATACTGGCATAAACCAGATCCATCACCAGATATAACTAATCAAATTGAAAGGTTCCAATCCTCCCCCGCCCCTGATTCCATGTTCAGAGGCTCCCTAGGGCTTCCTTTTGCTCTGAGGACCTTGGGAGGGGAGACCCTTTAATAGTCAAAAATTGTGACCAGCAGTCCTGATCCTAGCATTGCTAAACAAAAGATTGTAAATTTATCTTGCAAACTGCCATCAGTCCTGTTTATAAGGGTATATGTTAAAGACATTCACTCTACATCTAAAAAAAGGAAATGTGAAAAATATATATAGTGGGACAAAGGCTCTGTCGAAAGATGGAGCAGTATAAATAATACTGTATCCATGTGTGAATAAATATAATTTACAATTAGATTTTCATCATTGTTTAGAAAATGTATGAAGACAGAGCAATAGGGAACTTGATTTAAATCAATGATTTAATCCATTTTTCCTTGTTGCTAATGAATCATTTATTGGCAATTTAAACCACAGATTTAAATTACCTTGCTTTAAATCAATGCAACCTGCTTTCCAGGATAGTTATTCCAGATTTCTGACACTTACACATGGGAGGCAGAGAGGAAGGACTAGAAAACCACAGAATTAGGAGCACTAAACCATAATCTAATCTCATAAACCTCTCACCTGGTAGAAAGAAATCCCCACAAATATGCTTTCCCATCAGCAACAGACCCAAAAATAATTTTAATAATTGAAAAAATATATGTAGTAAATAAATCACGTAATTTACCTGGTAAGTTTAATAGTTTTCCTAAAGTCATTGGTAATTGGAGCCTTAAAACCACCTTTCCTGAGCAAGGAGTCTATTGTTTGAATCTGATCCCAATCTGTTCAAAAATATTAGTGGCAGAGATATAAATACAGGCTTACTGAAACAAAGAGGAATAGCTTCTCAAAATACAGATAAACTAATTATCTGATAATTGGCAATAAGAAACTTAAAGTTATCAACTAAAATTGTTAAATACTCGACCTGTAGTTTTTCCATGTATGTTTCTTTAAAGACTTGGCCAATCAAGTCTTTCATAACACCTACTATTGTTAAAGACTGATCTTAGTTTAAGTATACAAAAGAATCAAGTCAGATATACCTTCAAAATGAATAACTGCTGTATGGCAAACTAAGTTTTCCATTAAGGTGCAGTACATTACTATGTCAAAGACATGATTTAATTAATTATACTTTAGTGTTTTTATTCTTTTCCAGAAAAATGAGATGTGAGCCTTTGAATAGAGGAATAAAAGTTTTGTACAATCAGCAGTGTCAACTGCTGCATTCTTTAACTGCTGTGTTTGTAGCAGAGAGATGGTGGACATTGGACATTGTGTCTGCATGATCAGGGCAGGCTTGAAGAGGAAACTCACACATAATGTTGAAGAAGAAAAAAGTCAGAAGGGTAAATCTTAAGGTTCTATCAATGTTTTTTTTTACTCCAAGACTGTGAGACAGTTATGAAAGAAGCAACATTCAAACCATGATCAGTCTTGGAAACCATTACATACGGAAGCTGAAATCCAGTAGTAAATCACAACAAGTAGTGAATCGATGGAGGTTACAGGGAAGTTGACTCACCAAATCCCCAGTGATTCAATGAGCCTACTGACCATGGACTTTCAGCCTGAATATGGAACTAGAATTCAACATTTAAAGGGTCAGATTTCTGAATAATTCAGCCACAGATTATTACTGTCTTGAGCTTTACAGCAGCTGCATAAACCAATCCACAATTTAAATTCTTACACTTAAGCTACTTTTGCTCAGGACTGCATGTCCAGCTCATTTCAAACTTACCTTGTTCCTTAGCAACTTCAGGTAAGTATGTGGCTGTGCGTTTGACACCCTTCTCATTGATAAATTCAATTCTGATTCCATGGATTCCCACCTAACAATGGAAATAAAAGGTCAACTGAAAGATTTTTTAAAATCTTGTGCAGAATTTATTTCATTTTATTTATTTATTTGATTTATATCCCGCCCATCTGGTCTGGTCGGCCATTCTGGGCGGCTATGAGTCCTCTAAGGAAGCCTTTGCTTCACTTCCATTTCTTGCATTTATTGTACCTTTCAAAATCTTTCCCCAAGACAGAGCCATAATGTACTGCAATTCAATTCTGACCACAGAGACAACATTCTCAGGCAAATCCAATTAATTAGATTTTGGGCAAACCTCGCTATTTCAAGTTATAAAATATATACCCTTTCTCTTCATATACCACTGTTAGCATGCAATCTTTTGCACTGTGTTGAGTCTATGTTCAGGATTGCACCCTGTCAATTATTTCTTCATGCATTTAACTACAACCACTTTAGCCTCTTTTTATCCTAATTTTTCTAAACCCATAACAATGTACCCTTATATTTAAAAGGAGACACATTAACCTATACTAATCTAAGCCACATGGTATGGTACAGGGATGCAGAGCCCAATGCACCCGTTCTCACCTCCCAGTCCAAATAGTCAGTGGCATCCTCAAAATTAGTGAGGAGGGAAACAGAGCAGAAAAGTTTAGGCAGCTCCTCACGGGTCAGGGGTGGAAATCTGCTGTCCTTAAGTGCGCTAGAACAGAACAGAACACATAACCTAAAATAAGCTCTGCAAAAAGTTTAAATTGAACATCATCTTACATTCACTGAGTCATTTAGCACCAAGTCTCTGGACAAGTAGCATCATCTTAGGACAACATTAGCTTTACAAGCACTACAAACGCAAACCAAATAAAATCTAAAGAGAACATCAGATACACTAAAAACAGAAACATGCAAGAAGATTTCTATCCATGGTTATGGCAAAGTCTTCAGAATAACAAGACACTTAAAGAGAACAATATAATAAGCTTCTGCTGTAATTGGGATGAGATAAACCATTTCCTAAATATATACTGATCAAATTACTTATAGCTTTATAAATCAGTGTGGTACTTCCTACACAGTTGGCAGGATGCTTCAAGGATTTTTTATCTAAACTTTTGCTGGTTTTTACATCAATATTAAAGTTTTGGGCTAGTTTTTGTGGTATTAAGCTTTTTAATTCTATTACTGGCAATTTGTAGCTTCATCCACTTGCCCAAATCTTGTTGCATAGCATAGTAAATTGCACTACAATACCTTCATTGAATCTGTGGGAATTTGGCAAGTCAACTCCTCTGTAAGTTCAATTGATTCAAATGGGTCTAATCTAATTGTAACTTACTTTACGTCCATCTGAATCAATGAAACTTACTGAGGAATGGCCTCACCAAATCCCCATAGATGAAATAGGCATACTCTGCTGTAATTTACTATGTTCAGCAACAGGATTTTGGCAAGGTATCAAGAAATGCAGTAGAAAATAAAGCTGTAACAAGTGGGGCAAGACTTGAACCCTTTTGGTCTCAGCCAAAAGAAAGGTTACTGGCACCCTGATCATTTTCCTCTGTAGTTTCAGTTTCCTTCCCTACCCAGAAAGAAAACCAAAGAATTCCTTCAACTTTGGCTCTCCCCTTTCCCTGCCTTTCACATGCAACTTTCCAGCTTTGCCTCCTTTCTGCCTCCCTTGCCTCAATTTATTTTTCAGCGCACCAGGTTAGTGCCCATGAGAAGGCTTTCTTCTTATACAAGGGAACCAGCCACCTCAAAAGTTGGAAATCTACTAATTGCTACTTGCCACACAGCTACCCTCCCCACAGAGCATGTATTTCCACCACTGCCATTGGCTCTTTGTTCACCGGAGAAAAGGCAGGGGATAAATGCAATTAGTAAATTAATAATTGCTACCAAGAGTTGCTATTTTACATTCTCTAGCAGATTACTTTTCAGTCCCAAATTAGAAGAATGCAGTGCACAATTTATGTAGAGACCTTAGTACATGATATAGGATGGTTGGCAAAAGCATTAATTCCTTACATTCTGGAAAACACTCAAGATAATCTCCCCAGGTAGCAAGATATACATGTGACAAAAGACACGGAGTGACAACATGCCCCCAACTGGATATATATCCCCACTGATAATATCCATACCTGGTTAATGTGTATTCCCTGAGTCCTGAGTGAAGATTCATGGCAGAGAAAGTTCCAATGCAGCCCCGAAGTCGTTTGTCTCGGCCTGTCTTCCAAGTCACAAAGAGAGGGCTGAAAATGCATAACACAAAAACTTCAATTTCAAATAATTACTGCTGGAAGAAATCAATTTAACACCAAAAGGCATAAATGTAATACAGTGGTGTAGCACAGCGTGATATTTTGCAGCTGTTTGGAACTTACTTGCTTTTGAATAGGCAAAACTTTGCAATTTAACATTTTCCTTCCTTTTAAATATTTTTCTTTTTTTAATACTGCTGTTTTAAAACTTCATAAATTCTTGGGAACACCCCTCTGTGAGTTTTTAAATGCTAACTTGTGACAACATCAGAGTTACATTTCTATCATTTGTCTTAAACTAGGCATAGTCCTGTGTGGCTAAGTATTTTAAAATCAGATTTAAATGACTTTGTGAAGGACAAAGGCAGTAGTCTAGCTCAAGTTCCATATACTTAAGCCTAATGCTTTCATTTAGTGTACTTAGTTGTGTTAGACTTTGGACCCCCGAGTTATACTTTTGAGGAAATAACAAACCATGGAGAAATATCTACCATAAGGTTGTGGGTATGATAATCATCTCATTTTGTCAGTAAGGCATCAAACTCCACAGTTATATGCATGACCTGCAGCTGATTTTGTCCAGAAGTACAGACACGTAATTTTAGAAAAGTTTACTGCGATGTACTAGCTTTGCATCTGAGCAGCATAGTCACTTTACTGGTTGACACATATTTTAGCAAAGGGCATATTCTAGCTGCCTTAAATAAGCTGACTGCGAGACTCTTCCTAAATAATACACTTTGAATCATTTGGCAATTTACAAGCTAATCTTTGATTGTAAGTTTTATACAAGATAAATAAGTGGGGAACGGCAAACAGCTTCAGGTTGTTCTTGTCAAGCTGGTCACCTAGATCTATTTCAGTCTAGTTTCCAGGTGTTTCTGGGGACAAAACCTGCCCTGGTTTCCCCAGTGGTTCAACAAAGCTAGACAGCCAGATAGCATGATCCTGTTGACTATCCTGCACCTCTTGGTGGTTAATACAATTGACTGTATTTTCCAATTTGGGGGCATTACTTTGTGATAGTCCTGCATCTTTCCAGACCACAGATTCTTGAAGGTGATAGTGGGAGATAAGTATTCCTCCACATTTGAGATGTTCAGTCATTTCGTCCAGAGTCATTTTTATTTCCAATACTTTTCATGCCCACACAAAAGCACTGGGGAAATGAATCTGTAGTTATGGGATCTGGAGTCATTGGCATGCTGCTGATGATACTCAATTCATTTCCCCTTTTCACCAGACATTCATATGTGACAATACTATGTCTAAGGTAACTAATGGACTGGAGATAAGTAAATAACTTACATATATAACAGAGTTAATAATGGTAGATGATTCACTGATTCAATTCCCTAGAGAAATACTTGTTCTGGTCACAATTACACTTTCTGTAAAAGCTCAGAGGTGAGACCAATTTGGTGAATGAACTCTTGAGTGTTGCAGGTGTGCTACAATAAATGCAGGCAGGATTATTGTTAACACCGGCAGAGTTCTGCTCCCTGACTGGAGTTTGATAGTAGTCATTGCCACATGCTAAGCTTGGTAAGATGAAGAGGTACAACTAGTAACTGGATACATAGTGAACATGAGACTTGGCTGTATTTAGTGCTGGACTTTTCACTCAGAGAAGAATAGGATCTGGGGAGAGGGGACCACAGACTCAACAGATAATGCCAAAACCTGCTGCGGTGGACTGTGAAATCCTCTGGAACATGTTTTTTAAAGCCGTAATGGGCTGCAGCAGGAAGCCCCCCATATCCCCAAATCCCAATGGTTCTACGAGTTTCATATTGAATTTAAGCCTGTGTATTTAATGGTAAATCATTTTGAATGGGAAGGGAAGCAAATCTGTTTAGTGCTATCTACATGTAAACAACACCATGTTCTCAACTGCTGTTTTTTGCACTACCTAGATGGCTACAAGAAAAAAAAACCTGAATAAACAGGAACGTTCCTTGCGCTTTCCATGACTCTCCATTTTCAGTAACAGAAATAGAGAGGTACAAAGGAGATATTTCTTTTGGCAACATTAATTTCCCCTGATAGTCTTGTCCTTTCCTTTTCCCCATGCAGTTTTAGCAAGGCAAAAAGTCAGGGACATGACAATGAGAAGCACGTTTATCCAGTTAGTCATCTTTAAATGTGAATTCTTCACATTTTATGTACTTATATACATAGATTTTTCATATGATTATTTATAATTTATGGTTATAATTATTGTCTGTTCCTTTGCTGCATTGTTTTAACCATATTTTGTGTTATTGTGTGTTGATGACTTGTGAATCTTTAATCCTGTGTCACCTGCCCAGTGTGGTTTTTGAACTAATGGGGCAATAAGTGGTGCCTCAACTTACAACCTTCTTGACTTGCAACCAATTTGAGTTACAACTAGCACAGGTCGCAAAATTTTGCTTTGACTTGCAACTGGCGATTTGAGATACAACCGGAAAAAGCCCTCTTTTCTCCATTGTTCCCTATCTACCTCTTTTCCTGCCCTTTTTTTAACCTTAGAGGTCATTTTAGGTTTAAAAAAGTATCCCCCTAGTGGACGGATTAACCGCTTTTCCATAGGAACTAATGCATTGAGATACAACCAGTGCCTTGAGATACAATCAAAAAACGGCCGGAACAGATTAATCGCTTTTCAGTGTATTCCTATGGGAAATGGTGCTTTGAGTTACAACCAACTTGAGTTACAACCATCATCAGGAATGAATTAAGTTCACAACTCAAGGCACCACTTTAAATCAAATGAATAAATAAATAAATAAATAAAGGATGAGATTCACAGCTCAGAGGTATTCTTATTTCCTGGATATAACAGAACTCCTGGATTTAGCAGTTTTAACAATACGCTGCTGTAGAGAGAAATCAACATGTTTCTCCCCTTGTGAATACTAGAATAGATTACTGCAATTCATTCCATATATTTCAGGTAATCCTCCAAGATAACTGCTCCAAAAATTCTGAGGAAATTTGACTATTGTTTGCATGCTCCTTTAACCACAGGGACATGGTGGCGCTGTGGGTTAAACTGCAGAAGCCTCTGTGCTGCAAGCTCAGAAGACCAGCAGTCGTAAGATCGAATCCACGTGACGGAGTGCACCTCCGTCGCTTGTCCCAGCTCCTGCCAACCTAGCAGTTCAAAAGCATGCAAATGGAAGTAGATAAACAGGTACCACTGCGGTGGCATTCCATGTCTAGTCACGCTGGTCATGTGACCATGGAAACTGTATTTGGAGAAACGCTGGCTCTATGGCATGGAAATGGGGATGAGCATTGCACCTAGTCACCTTTACCTTTACTTTAACCACATGGGAGTTCTGCTTCTAGTTAGTGACAAATTATAATTTACCATTTTATCCAAAATTTATACAAAACAGAGAGCAACAGATTATTGAAAATTAAAAGCTCCTGCTTCTATGGGTGTAACTGCACACAAGGAAAACATGCATTGACTTGCTGTGAAATTACACCAGGGAATTGGGGCCTGTTTGATTTAAGTGGCTATCAGGGAATTCGGACCAGTTTAAGTGTCCCCCCGTTTGTTTTGTTCATTGGTATTTAATGAATTAAGAACCAGAGTGGGAAGATGCTCTGAGTATGCATGCATGCATACCTAGCTCTCCCTTTCAGCATTGATCCAAGCAATCAAATGCTTGAATTGATCTGAAAGGATTCATAATTTTAAAAAGTAGAAGGTTCCCTGGTGGAAAAGCTATGGACTGGGAAGGATTCTTCATGGATTTCTGCCTTGTCATGGTGAAGGGGCTTGAGTAATTCAGAGAAGCTATGGGATATGCCGTGCAGAGACATCCGAGACAGACAGGTCATAGCGGAGACTTCTGACTAAACGTGATCCACTTGGAGCAGGAACTGGCAAGCCACTCCAGTATCTTTGCCAAGAAAACTCCATGGACAGAAACAAAAGGCTAAAAGATATGGTGTCCAACATGCAACTGAGGAAGAGCGGAGGACAAGGACGAATAGCTCCAGAGCTAATGAAGTGGCTGGGCCAAAGCTGAGAGGATGCTCAGCTGCGGACGTGCCTGGAAGTGAAAGGAAAGTCCGATGCTGCAAAGAAAAATACTGCATAGCAACCTGGAATGTAAGATCTATGAACCTTGGTAAGCTGGATTTGGTCAAACAGGAGATGGCAAGAATAAACATTGACATCCTGGGTTTCAGTGAACTAAAATAGACAGGAATGGGAGAATTCAATTCAGATGATTATCATATCTACTACTGTGAGCAAGAATCCCATAGAAGAAATGGAGTAAACCTCACAGTCAACAAAAGAGTGGGAAAATCTTTAAAATGGTAAAATGATTTCATTACGAATCCAAGGCAGACCTTTCAGCATCACAATAATCCAAGTTTATGCACCAACCACCGATGCTGAAGAGGCTGAAATTGACCAATTTTATGAAGATTTACAACACTTTCTAGAACTAACACCAAAGAAAGATGTTCTTCTCATTATAGGGGATTGGAATGCTAAAGTAGGGAGTCAAAAGATAAAAGGAACAACAGGTACATTTGGCTTTGGAGTTCAAAACGAAGCAGGACTCTTTTCCAACAACACAAGAGGCGACTCTACACATGGACATCACCCGATGGGCAATACCGAAATCAAATTGATTATGTTCTCCGCAGTCAAAGATGGATAAGCTCTATACAGTCAACAAAAACAAGACCTGGAGGTCTGATCATCAGCTTCTTATAGCAAAACTGAAGCTTAAACTAAAGGAAGTAGGAAAAACCACTGGGCTAGTCAGGTATAATCTATACCAAATCCCTTATGAATACACAGTGGAAGTGAATAACAGATTTAAGGAGCTAGACTTGATAGACAGAGTGCCTGAAGAACTATAGATAGAGGCCCGTAACACTGTACAGGGGGCAGCAACAAAAACCATCCTAAAGTGGCTGTCCAACGAGGCCTTACAAATAGCAGAGAAGAGACGGGAAACAAAATGCAGGGGAGA